GTTTGTTGTTTTCTTGCAAACAGCAGAGAATCTTTAAACATTGTTGTATTTATTCACGTAGAGCAGAGCTGTAAACGTCTCGTGCCTGATCCGTGTTCCAGACATATCTCCGTTCACCAAGAAGTGGTTGCCCCCCCCCCTATCTTTTTTCATTTTACGTTGAAGTGCTTCATTACGTTGGATCCGAGCCGCTGGGCGGAGCAGGTGCTGCCTCTGTGGGGTCCAGCATTCCCACCCGACCCGGTTTTGGAAAGTGCAATAAATGTTCCCACATATCTTCTGATCACACGTGTGAAAGATTGTTTCTGATTAAATTGGAGAACGTCGTCACTCGGTGAGGAACTGTTCATGAAATGAAAAGAGACACGCAGTTCTGGATCAAGTTCTTCCATATTTGGAAGTTTTGTTTATTCTGTGTTTATGTTCCTGCAACATGTAAAACAGATCATTTACATGATGAGATGAGATCTGTGTCAGAAATATTAATAAAACTTTTAAAACTCAATCTGAGCTGGTTGTTGTGTTTCCAGGAGAAACTTTCTCCTCATTTCACGTGGAACAATCAGGAACACGGTGACCTCCAGGTTTATTATCATCTACCAACTGAAGGTCTATCGCTATGTTTGCGTTTCCTTAAACTTCTATAATTGCTTAGGAGCGTAGAATATATCTGCTTCTAGCAGAACCTCTATTTGTTTAGAGCTGCTTTTAGGCATTACTAGTTGGAGTTCCAACTGGTTTATTTGTCTTAGACTGCAAAAAACGATCTAGAAATAAGTAAACATTTCTTAAATTAAGTGCATTTATCCTTACTTTAAGTAGGTAAATTAGATAGTTTGCCAATGGAATGAGTATTTTTACTCTTAAAATAAGATAATTAGATAATATTGCACTTGAAACATCTAATAAATCTAAATTGTCTTGTTCTATTGGCAAAATGTCTCTTTTACCTCAATTCAAGAACAAATGCACTCACAGCTCACAGTCATGTTTTTGGACTGTGGGAGGAAGCCGGAGTACCCGGAGAGAACCCACGGATGCTCAGAGAGAACATGCTAACTCCATGCAGAAAGACCCTGGGCCAGGAATTGAACCCGCAACCTTCTGGCTGCAAGGCAGCCCTAACATCAAGTGTATTTAGCATTCATTTTAGCAGGCTAATTAGATGATTAGTGAGTATTTTTACTCTTAAAATAAGATAATTAGATCATATGCATTTGTAATGAGGCAAAGCAGTTACTTTTTCTTATTTTAAATGTAGTGTCTCACTCACCTCATATTCAAGAAAAACACTTATTTAAGAAAAAAATCACTTATTTAGATTTCAATTTTTTGCAGTGTCCTACCTGCCTTTATCGTGTTTTTATTCTGTTTTTCTCTTTACTTCTATTTTATTGTTTAATTCATGGAAATCCCTTTGATGGTTCTATAAAAGTGGTAAAAATAAACCTGCCTTGCCTTGAACCTGCTGACTAAGGAGATGGAGCTCCTGTGGTTGTTCTCTCAGCTTCACCCCCATCTGTCCCCTGACATCATGGGACGTCCATCCCTGTGCAGACCTGCAGCTGCTGAGATCTTCTCCTCCTGGGAATCATCTCTGCAGTACATACTGTATATACAGCGCCTGCTTGTTTATTCTTAATGCACCTTTTCCTCCTTGTTTGCACCTTCTTTAATTACTTTCCCAATATTTTTGTGATTTTTATTTCTGTGATGTTTTAGTGTGTAATTTGTTCTGTTGTTTCCTGTGTGCAGTCACTGTGTTTTGTGATTGAGAATTAGCCTTAGCTAAAATGTTGTAGTGTGTGACATAATTCATGAAACATACTTGTCCCTATCAAATATATGAATAAATAAATATGTGACCAGGGAATTTCTCCGCTGTGAGATCAACAAAGCTAATCTACCGTAATCTAATCTAATCTAAGATGGGCTTGAGATTAAGGCTGTAGTGACAGCATGTCTGGGTCCTCTAGAAAGGCTAACTCAGCAGCAGTGACGTCATTCCGTGTGCCTGCTGATGGAGAATCAGCAGCAGTGACGTCATTCCGTGTGTCTGCTGATGGAGCATCAGCAGCAGTGACGTCATTCCGTGTGTCTGCTGATGGAGCATCCAGTGATGGTTTAGTTTATCCCAGGTTTTCCTTCCTGGATTGATGAGCAGCAGCAGTTGCTCCCCCCCCTCCCCCCTGTTTCCTCCCACCTGTCATCTCTCCTCGCGCCTGCGGGCCGCTATAAACCAGCCTTCTGCGCATGCGCAGGGATCCTTTCGGAGCAGCTTCCTGCCAGATAGTGCTCCTTAACAACAGACAAAGCTTTCCTGCGGATTCCCGGGAATAGTTTGGATAAAGGCTCCTGGACCCCCCTCCCTTCCATGGTAAGGCCGGACTAAGGGCTGCCCCCTCCCGGGCTGGGTGCTGTCTGGAGGCCGTGGGAGGGGGGGCTGCTTCTCTGGGTCAGAGAGTTTAACACGATGCCTGCTGGGTCCGTCTAATGTCTGGATTGGAAAACTTTCCCAGCCTGGTTGCGCTTCGATCAGCCCGATATTCCGCTCATTCCCCCGAAATAACGAACCCAGACATCAGCAACTAGCGGCGCTGTCTAACGCCTGGGTGGGAGTTAGCTTCTGTTGCTAACGGGGGGAACTTAGCGTCCCTGTTGTTGGGCGCAGACTAACTCCTGGTGCGGACAGCTGGGAGACTTTAAATTAGGTTTTCTGCTCTAATTCTGTCTGCATGTTTAATATTTTCATTGAAGAGCAAACGAGCTTCCGTCTCCCAGGAATTATCCGCGTCCATTGCTTCATCTTCGCAGCACTAACCGGGGCCGGTGGGGTCTATGTGCTGGAATCGGCTGTCCATCAGAAGCAGGATGTTTACCTGTGGCCAGGTGTGCAGAGCCGGTTGCGGAGCGGAAGCTTTATTCCCGCCTTCCATCGCTGGTCTGGAGGAGGTTCCCAGGAGGTGCCCGGGTCCATCCTGCAGCCCTGCTGCAACACCTGGGGCCCATGGAGGGTTTGCATGAGGCTGATGGAGCAGAACCACCATGTTCTACCAAACACCCCCTGGTCTCTTTCCACTCTCACCCAGACTAGTGGATTAATCCCCCCCCCTAAATCACTCCTTTGTTATAATCGGACAGACTGGAACAGGTGTT